AAGCGTCTAACGCCTTTTGCTTTCATGTATCATTGCCGTGAATCGATCAATTTGCCGGGCTCATGCTCATGCGGTAAACATGCAATGCACTTAAGTGCACTCAAATTAAGGGATCCAACCAGTCGTAAGTAAAGAGAAGAGCAGCCAAGGCAGTGGCAAGAGAAAGAGCAACGAAATGGAGCCAATGTCCCGAGCCTGCCTGCCTGCCTCGCCGCTGGAAGAAGAACTGAGGCTACCGATAGATCTTACACGTTCGTCCGTACTTGGGCCCTGCGTGCATCGCATGCCATGCATGTGTCCGTCCGAGCAAGGGTGGGTGAGTGGGTGGATGGATGGATGCACATGCACCCACCGCATATATATCATCCTCGCTGAGTGTATGCGAATGCAATGCGGAGGGGTCGCCCCTTGACCATGACGTTGTGAAGGCCCACGAGGGCCTCCACGGCCTCCTCGACGGATGAGAACCTCACGATGGCCTGACGCCGAGACGGATCCAAGAACTGCACACATACACCACACCCACATCCACCCGCAACAACCACACACAAGCCACGCATTTACGTATGTATCGTTTCATTCATCAAGCGTATGTGCAAGCCACTGACACACAGGGCCAGGCCAACCCACATATGTATACGTACGTATGTATTCACCGTACGTACAGCATTTGCATGCGTACCTTGAAGCTCTCGACAGGCCCATGCTTGGAGAGGAGGTCCGTCAGCTCACTCTCGTCGGAGTTGTCTGCAAGGACCATCCATCCATAGGCCACGATGTATGGATGGCCGGATGGATGCGAGTCAGTCTGGTGGATTGTGCGTGCTTTGGCCTGTCTGTCAGCACCGACCAGCACCCGTCCCGTCTGTCTCATCCCATCTCACCCGAGAGGTTGGATAGGTGGAGCGATGACGAGGGGTCGAACATGCGAAGCTGGCGGTCGGGCTTGTGCCGGTTGTAATTCTGGTCATGGTAAAAGTCCACCGTCAACGTTCCCTCCTTCCTGCAGCCATGCAAGCAGGCAGACAGAAAAGGAAGCAACAAATAACTACAGAATCGCCACTTGCAGCAACAGCAACAGCACTGGGTTGCTGGCCGGTGTACGTACGCTGGTTGGATCTCGCCGCCTGAAGGAGTATCGTGTGTGTGCATCGATCGGTTGATGATGGCCGAACGGAATTAGGTAACATATATATTCGTTGCCCTTGCTCACTTACCCTTTGAGAGTTCGCATATGAGTCGTTTGCCGTGAAGGGGACACCCCGACAAGGCCGATATGGCGGCCTGATCAGTGACGATGGCGCACACACGTCTGCTCCCTCCCTGCCTCCATCCAGGCATGCGTTCAGGTGCGCCACACCCACCCCACCCACCTGACACTGGTGGAGGGATTCCATCTGCACCAGCCCTCTGCTCTTCATCTTGAACATGATCTGATGGATGGATGGACGGACGAGTAGCGACGCATGCATGGGCGTGCGTAGCGCATTCTCGCATCTCATCTCATGTCTGCCCACCCGTGTGTGTGTATGTGTGCATGCAGTCAACTTACCTTGACCCTGTGTACGTTGCCGTATACGGCGAATAGTGCTGCGAGTTCATCGGGTCTGGTGTTGTCCTCATCTAGGTTGTTGACCAGCACCACTGCAGGACGCGATATCGTCGGCGGCATCCCCATACCCATTCCTGTGGGCCACCAAATGCATAGTGTGTCCACGCATGTGGTGAACAAACACGAGGAAAGGGGTGGAGCATGTCTGTCTGTCTGTCTGAGTGAGTGAGTGAGGATGCATGTGTGGGGTTTGCAGGTAGGTAGGTAGGCAGGTACCTACCGTAGCTGATGGGTGGGCCGTGCCAGTCGTAGCCCGGATGGTGTGGTGGAGGGTTGTAGCTGAACTGACGGACATTATTTCTCTCGGGAGGCGTGGGCGTGCGGTACGGGTGATCAGCAGCACTGGACAAACAGTAGCATACGCACATACACACATACATTTGTGTAGCATTCATTCTCCCAGTCAGTGTGCACGTGTCTGTGGTTGTTGCGGCAGTGAGTAAGCAAGCCACCCACCCAGCCAGCCAGCCTTACAATGGTCCCATCTCGACGAAGTCCCAGGATCTGCTGTTGGCGCCCTTGACCGTCAGATTCTCCAGGGAAGAAAACTGAACCTGTACTTACACATAGGGACATCCGGCAAGCTGTGCAATGATAACTACGTGCAGGTAGAGCCGCGTGTCGTAGACACACACGTACCTTCAGATGATTGCAGCCCGAATATCTGAACGTACGAATGGCATACGCATACATGCAGATAGATAGATGTACGATGGACCCAGTAGCCAGATTGTGCAGGTCGCTCACACAAACACATACATGTTCTGTCCATTCAAACCAGCAACAGCAGCCTGACGGACGGACGGACGCACCCAACAGACGGACAGACAGACAGACAGACAGACAGAGGGAGGGAGGGAGGGAGGGAGAGGCCACGCAGAACAAACAACAAGGTATGGTTGCCAGCGGTCTGGTAAGTGTGTTTGTAATGTGACTGACTGACTTTCGCCTGTTCCAGGTCTGACAGCTCCACAAACGCCTGCTCCCCTGACCCGCGACGAAATATCACAATCTGCACCCGGCACGGGGGAAGGGAAAGAGGGAAAGAGACACAAAGTTGGTGAAGTCGGGTGGGGGCTGGGGGCTGGGAGATAGTCATTCATGTATATGTCCAGGGGGGGGGGTGTCCGTGAGAGCTACTGCTAAATGACTGACTGACTGACTGACCTTCCGAATTTCTCCATAGCGCTGGAACTGCACACACAATCGCATTGCCTGACTGGCTGCTCGGTGCGTGTCTATATGTTTGTGTGTGCGTATGCGTACCACTGCGTGGAGGACCTCTACAGTGACGGGATACTCCACAGCATTGACAGTGACCAGCAGGATCACGTTGGGCGGATTGTCTGCCCAAAGTGACAAATAGACAAAAATGGGAGAGCGGACGGACGGCGGGTGGGTGCTGGGTCGTGTCTGTCTGTCCTGGACCAACTTACCGTCCGGATTGCCCTTCTTGACAATCTTGGACCGCCCTGCAGGAACCACATCAGGCAGACCGACGCGTTCTTGAGGTCCACACACGGACTAACGGACAGATGAGCCCTTCCTTCTTTGCTTCCCTCTCCCCATCTGTGCCACCATACTGACTAAGGACTGACCCTGCCAATTAACACATGAATGAAGGAGAGGGAGGGAGGGAAGGAGGAAAGGAGGGAGGGAGGGAGAGAGGGAGGG